CTTGCGCCTTAGAGATTCAAATTTACAAACAAAAAGAGAGGAGTTCGTCACATTATATACTTTTCACCTGTTGTATGGAGAAAGGACAAAGGTAGCAGAATACATACCATTCCACTCTGCATCTCGCGCTTCAATGTTTCCACCTGTTCTTGCTTGTGCTTCTCACGCTCTCGCATCAGTTCTTGCCTACAATAACAGAATACGTAACGACTCAAAAACCAGACTATGCCAATTTAATGGAAAGATGAAAATCTCCTCCCCTTTTTTCCCTTTCAATGACAAAAGTTGGAGCCGATTTGTCTTCAGGAAAAAAAAATACTCTTGTATGTTTAACTATATAGTACTTGCTTAATGTGGGATCCTATAGCTTCCAGGATGCTAAAATTTTATACATACCACCATCTTTGAGTATTATAATGTGGTTTCAGGTCTGAAAGATTAAACTAGGGCAAAGCAATAATCTATACCACCACTGCAGGATAGTGGCTCTGTTCAAATAGCTCCAAAGAGCACGAGATCACATTAGAAATTTGAAACTTCAAAGTTATTTCCTCTAAATAAGAAATAAGAAATCCGATGTTCCAGCTTTGAAACGTAAATTCAGTGGATAATAGGTGTATCCTTCTAGATTTAAAAACCAAAAGTCCAAACTTGGTTCTCTAACAGTATTTGAATTTGTGTCATGCCCTTAGCTGACTTCATACTACTCAACCAAAAAACGATTTATCAAATGAAATGGCAACCGTGTCCATGACTTACCTGCGCTGTTCTTCATCATCGAAGACAGTACGTTCATCGTCCACGACCTTCTTGACACCTCTTCTACTTTCCTTTTCCATTTTACGTCTGTAATAGGCGTCAAGGTTATAATATCTGCAAAAATGAAGAATAACAGACGTACTGTTAGATGATTATAACATAACTCAAATATCAAGCATCTGTATACCTATCTCTCTACGTGTATATGTGTGTACAAACACATATCATCCTGCAAGGAACTAGAAGCCTCACATAAAACACCCAACTCAATACATTTATTGCCAATATAGAAAAAAAAACCCATCCCAACCAGAAAAATAAGTTTAGATTGAAATAGTGCAGTAGCCTTACTTTTTAGAAGGGAAGGTTGCAGTGTTATGATCCTCCATGAATCTGCACAATAGTTGACTATAAAAAAGTGGAAGTTCCTTGCATATATTGCTTAAACAGAGGTAGAGAAAGGGAAAGAACAGGTGCTAATAAGAACAAGCTTATCCCTTCTCGATTTACTTACTGCTTGAACAATTGCTTCTCTTCCCAATTTGGCAGGCTTTCCAGATTCACCTATAAATGACATAAGAAATGAGAACTTCCACAACTAGATATAATATCTTACACAAAATTGAATAGAAAGAGAATGTAGTGCTATGCAATGGAAGCTTTTTAATGGGGACCTTTGGAAATGCACTATAGTGCACTAAATGGAAAATGAAGACCTATCCAAAAATATTTATCAAAACAATTGGCATATCCTGCAACAAGTCCTGTGTGGATGATCAACATGCATAAGCTTAAAGAGTCACTACGTACCTTCTTTATTTCTGCCAACCATGCGGTAAACTCTGGCCGTTTGTTCCTACAATAAGCAATAACTAAAGTTGAAATCTATATAAAAACAATCTGATCATTAAAACTGACACCAAAGTGAAGAGAAACATTTCCTGCAACCTTCTGAAATAAAATTGCAACACACAAGAAGGTGACGAGAATCCATCGTAATTAGTTCAAGCATAAACATATTATCACCGTAATAATGCACGAATTCAGAAATTTCCACTCTCTTTTATATAAATAAAAGGTACATCTACACAGATGAATGGTCCAACCACAATATAAAAAAAAAGGTATATCTTCATATACAGCAATATGACTGACTTCTTTCTGGACAATATAGGAGTCAATAGCATGTCTCTCACTACTCAAAATGCTGCATCCTCTTAACAATTATGCCAGAAAATGATCCAAAAGTAAGGCTCTGTCTGGAAATCATATGTTCTAACCTATATAATGGAACAGAGGATAGATTGAATGATTGTTCAGAGCATTCAAGTTACATTAAGGGGTAAAGCCTAAAATTTGTAGAATAATCACTCACCCGTGTGAGCTTGCTCACAAAGCCAGTCTCAAGGACAGATAACGGAGCCAACATAAATCTTAACACAACCAAAGATGTGTAGGGTGGGGAGTGTAAAGACAGCATTGTCTCCTTTTTTCATGAAGTAAGATTATATCTTTTAAAGGCATCAAGAAGATGCATAAGAAACAAGACATACAAACCAGAAGATATCGATAGCTCCAATACAAAAGGTAAGCATAATGCCGGGTATGTTGTTGTGGTTTGCTTACAATCAAGTAGTTATGTCTTTCAAGTATTAGCCAAAGAATACATTTTTATCAAAAGAGAAGTCATTTCCTTTACTAATACACTTCAAATCACTACTCCAAACCAACATTTCAAGCATTAATTCAATTCATAATCCAAAGAAGTAAACACTAAAAAAGTTAAAGCCATGAAAAGTTGCTCACCACATATCAGTTTCCTTGATGATTCCATATTTTCCCCAAGAGTTTGTAACAGCACCAGTTTTCCCCTTCTCTTTCTTTTTCTTCTTCCTCTCTTTCTTCTCTTTCTCCTTCTTCCTCCTCTTCTTCTTCTCCTTCTCCTTCTCTTTCCTCAGCTTTCGTTTCTTCTCTCTCTCCTTTTCCTCTCTTCTCTTCCTATCTCTCCTCTTTCTACGCCTCCTCTCCTCTTCCGAATCCGAATACTCCGAACTACTACCCGACTCTGAATCCGAATACGAGTCTTCAGAGTCCGAATACGAATCTTCTCCAGATGATGAAGAATCCGAATCGTCATAATCATCCCGCGATCTTCTTCTAGAACTTCGACTTCTCTTTCTGCGGTGTTTTCTCACTTCTCGTTCCGGTTCGGATTCAGATTCATCTTCTCTTTTGGATTTTGATTTGTGTTGCCGCTTCGATGGAGTCGCTCCATTTTCGTCTTCTGAAGCTTTTACTCGCTCTTTCGCCATTGTAGGGGTTTTGGTTCTAAGCTAGTGAAAAATCGAGTTGAGCTAATCTTTAAAACTTAAAAAATTAGTCTGTCACTTATGACCCCTTAAGTTTTAGGGATTGATTTTATTCGTCCCCTTTTATATGATAAATGAACAAGTATGATCCTTTAAATGTACAAAGTAAGACGTTTTTGGTAAGTAGGTGGATGAGATTATTTCACTCTTAACGAGAAGTTTTAAGTTCGAAATCTTGAGAAGAAGAAACTAAGTATGTTAAGGGATCGATTAGGTACCTAAGTCTAAGATGAAGTTATTGGACTAGTGTGGGCATCGACTAATTCATCTTCTTAAATTCACATTCATATCATCATAATCACGACGATAGTGTGTGTAAATTATATCATGAAAACAAGGTGTTGTTTAACATGAGTGTAATTGTCAATGGGATGATAATTAGAAATACAAATTATTTTTCTTACCCTTGAACGGATTAGAATGAGGATATTTGAGATAAGGTGGAAGTGATCTATGTAGCATACAAGATAAAAAAAAAGCCAGAATGAAATGATTTAGACATGTGAAAAGAAGATGAGCAGATGCCCTAATGAAGCAGAGCAAGAGATGGATGTAGTAGGTACAATGAGAGGTAGGTTGTTCGAAATCAAACCGAAATCGATAACTCAAACTGAAAAAAAAATTTATTGGTTTGTCCGTAATAGATTATTGGTCTAGCAATTTTGATAACGATTATGATTTTTTTGTTATCGATTCTTAACGGCTTTAGTTTTTTTCTTAACGAGTTAACCGATAACTCGATAGTAAATTTAACAATTATATTTGTACCATTTTGTATATAAAGTCCTTGACTTAAGATTGGTTTCTTACTTCCACTTTTGGTTGTCCCAAGCTTTTGGTTATTCGACAATACATATGCAAGTGTTTGCTTTTGAGAAAAATGTAACTTGTGAACTCGTGTGAATGGTACATTTGGTTTGTCACCTTGTTTTCAATGTTTTTTTATCAAATCTTAATGGTTAAACCGATAACAATAAAAACTGATAAACTAATGACCGATAAGACAATATCTTAATGGTTTAGCATATCTACAAATCGATAACCAATAAATCAAACTGATAAACTTCAAAATCGAATTGACCGATAGGCAGCCCTCTCAGTAGAGATAGACCGAAAAAGATATTGAAAAGAGGTGATTAAACAGGACATGACATTAAATAGAAGGGCAAAAAATCACGTATAAGAATAAAAGATTAGTAGGTATAAAGTGTTGTCTTGATTTTCGAAGGATTTAATCTTTTTCTTCTAGTGTTTTGCTTTAGATTCCACCAGCACTTGTTGTTGATTGCATTTAGGTTATCACATTATTGTTTCCTTAGTAGTTGTTTTATTTCTCCACTATCGTTTTTCCCTTTTTCACTATCCTGATATGTTATACTCAAACCGAAGGTCCTCTAAGAATCTCCTTACCTTCCTAAGGTAACTCTACTTTCCCATACCCCTTGTAAAATTTTACCAAGTATGTTGTTGTCATGGACACTTGGACATACATTTATGAATTAGTAGTAGAATGAGATCAGGTCCTTAGAAGCATCAAGCACAACAAAGTTTAAGCAAAATGATCATCATTTCCATTTGTTATGGCAACTAATACACATTTTAGAACCATTTACTAAGAATAAAACTTCTGTCAATTACGAACCTTTTGCTTGTTTAAACACGTCTAACTTTGCATAAAATGAGTAATAGTTAACCAAATAAACACTAATCACAATACGAATATAAGCCCTCTATCGCGGTGAAACATATTCCATTAATTAAGCATAACAAGATTCGAACATGCAATCTTCAGGTCATAAAACCTAACGAGTTAAACAAAATTTGTCCACCTAGCATTCTCTTGCAGAAAAAATAGAAAACATTGTCATTCCATGCACAAAGCAACTCAAAGTATCAACAATATAAACAAACTAACATGTTTCATCTGTTGCTATTTTCTGAAGAAACAGTACAATTTTGCCAAAAGAGGCACAAGGATAAGGAAATGAAGCAACATTAGCATGGTGTATAAAGCTATATTTCTACTAAATCTCTTACTAGTCTATATTTGTCTACTATGAACTATTACCTGATTGTTGTAAGCACAACCACATATTTATACAAATATATGATGAAGATAAACATTATATGAACCTCAAAACAGGAGTAGGCACAAGATAGAGCAGCAGAAAAGAAAGATGAACAATCTGTTGAGAAATTTGTCCATCTGCATTTCTTCCCTTCTCATTCTAAGACCACTGCGTCCTCGGATGAGATAAGATCTAGGATGAGGATAAGCGATTCCAAACAGTCTTGAAGAAAACAGTTCTCCAAACACACCAACCACTGGGCTGAACAAACTGGTCATTGCTGTGCTCCCAAAGCTAGATGGAGCCAAAGCTGCGTAGTTACCAAAGGCTTGGGGGAGATATTGCCGGTGATGTTGAAATGTGGAGGGTCGTGGAGGGTAGACAGAAGTTTGACGAAGTCTCTGATGTAAGCGAGAGATTGGAGAGTCTGAATTATGCGGTGTCATCGTCCTAATAGCTCGAGGCCTATGAGGTATGTCTACATCTGCCTGATCCTTCTTGGGTTCAGACTCTAATGATGATATCCCACGACCATAGAGAGGCACCAGAGAGGAGTTTGAAATGTGAGCTTTACAGACTGGACATTTAGGGTTCTCTACTGATCCTGGTCCAGAGCTCTCAACCTGGAGCCACTTGTAAATGCAAGGCCAGCAGTAGAGGTGACCGCAGAGGGTGACTACAGGATCATGTGCTGAGTCAAGGCAAATGTTGCAATCAAAACAGGAAGATTCATTATCAGAGGCTGATGTTGGAAATGGAACTGAGTTTTTCTTATCAACGGAAATATCTTCATCAGACCCAACGCGGGTGATAGTCATGAAATCTATTAAAGATGAAATTCACAAATAATCACGGACCTCACAATCACAAAATGCACTATAGAAATCAAACATATGTGTATGAGCAAGCAAACTACGTGAAATGCACAAATGGGACTAACAAACTTTTGATGAGTGATAATTAGTTTGGTCTTCGCGGATTAATCAGAAAAGCGGCTCATTGTTTTCTCCTTCTTTCTGTTTAAGAATCAAATGGGAGTGAGAGTATGAAAGCAATTAGTATGGATTGGATACAAAATCATGTCAATTTAAACACCTCTTTAATCAAGCACTAAAACAATGCCCTACAAAGTTTCATTTTACTAGCTTGAGTCTGGCCTATCTCGAAACCATTTGTTGAAAAAATATAGTAGTTCAAGTTATGAAAAAGAGAAATAATTTATGATTGCTTTCCAAAATTGAATATATAAACCTGGATTATTAATTGGGTTAAAACACTCAAACATCCATTAGGATCCATGGATTTGGAGAACTTGTTTGTATAAAATAATTGACATGTATTCCCAGTCATATTCTCCATATCATTTTTTTCCAGACACCCACAAACGCTACCCTTCAGGTGCACACTGAGTAAACCCGCTCCTGTGCAATAAGTTGCTAACCACACAGGATACTCAGAAGGCTGCTGGTGGGGGAAATCGATCCAAGGCTCCCATGTGAGAAACCACTCACCCAACCAACGTCGCCAACCCTTGCAGGTTTTTCTCAATTATCATTTGGTCCCACACAATAATGAAAAGTATCAGATGGAAATATAACACCAGATAACATAAAACCAGTCTCGAACTCAAACCCCCCCAAAGCTCAAACCAACCCAAATATCAATACTGTTTTCATTCCTATGTTCAACAATGTTGCTTTAAAATATCACAATTTTACAACTACTACGTTTCAACCCCAAGCTATCTGCAGTCAGCTGATTAGAACTGATATATACTTGTTAAATCAGTACCAGAACCTAAAGTTTAGTTTCATTTCTCCCAACCTATGCTGCTCGAACTCGTCAAAAATGTTGACGGATACATGTCTGACCCTCAAAAAGTATCGAACTTTCAAGGATCCGACACAAGTGCAGCAACATTTTCTGAGAGTACAAGCAACATAGCTCCCAAGTGACAACAAACAAACTGAAACAGTAAAACAGCAACATCTTACCCACCATTTTCGAATGTGAACCAAAATAGCAGCAACACAATATTCCATAAAAAGCCACAACAATCAAAAACAAATCCTACTAAGTGTAAAATAACCAAAATTTACTCACATAAAAGAGAAACTAGAACTAATACCAAACACCCAAATCTCTTTTTTTTTTTTTGAAAATCCCCCAGAAACTTTTCAAAAGATTGATTCTTTCAGTGTTCCTTCCTCATTTCTCAAGCTAATAAAGCGCACTAACCCCTTTTCATTGAAATTAAACACCTATAATCGATCTCAAGCATCAAAAAAATCAAAAAAAAATTCATACCCATTGACAAAAAGCAATCGATTGATAGAGAAAACTCGTTGAGAAAGAGAAAAATCATACCGATAGATGAAAAACCCCAAAGGAGAATTGGAAGGACCACTAGAGAGGAAAAAGATAAAGGAAACGAGTAGAGTACCAAATATACTGAATAGGGTATGATTTATAGCGTGAACCCCATAAAAGCAAAAAGCCTCATAAAGGCAAATATGACAAAAAAATAATAATAATAATAATTATTTTTTTATAGTTGATGAAATATTTTATTTTAAAAAAATTGAATTCATTCTATATTTACTAAATAGGGCAAGCAAGGAATTTCATTCGTTTCGGTTTATTTGTTCGGTCTTAATATAAAGTTTAGTTTTAAAGTGACATGTTCTTTTAGTTGATTACTTGAATTTGATTATGAAATAATTGTGTTATGATGATATACAAGAGAAATAGTGAACATGTTATGATTAGCGTGAAGCGATAGATAAAATTTGTTTGACTCTCCTATCGAGTTTTAATACGTTTATTAAGATATCGCATGATTAAATCTTCCGAAAACATATGTCGCCCCACCTATTGAAGGGGAGTACAAAATTTAAGTCTTATTAATTTTTACAACTACCCTTTTAAGTAAATAGTCTTACCTAACATCTCCTAATCTTTTAATTTTGTTTCCATTTCATTCAATTCATAGTCAACATGACTGAGATTAGAAGCTAAAATATCTTTTTTTTTCTTATATTCAAAAAGCAAAAAAGAATATACATATTTGCGAATTATCGTAAATATTATATAGATATCTTTCGTCATACTTTTGGAATATAGATGTTTCTACCGTTCAAAAGCTAAAATATATATATATATATATATCTTTTATACTAACGGATATATACATGTCATAATCTAATACACAGATCCGATATTTATTAAATATCTTATCAACGGATAACATTGAGCCACGTATCTTTATTTAGTTTTTCGTTAAAGTGAAGGACATATATGCCTAGTTTTTGAACGATAGAGGTACTAATGTCTCAAAAATATGAAGAAAGATAATCTGCATACCACGTACGACAGTTCAAAGTATATTTATCCTTTTTTCCTTCAAAATATTAGTTTAATAGGAGTAACTGACTATCCATAGATTTTTTGTGTAAGATTAATGTGTGGATGTTGATTAGTTAAACTAGAGCTCATACAAAGGGGATGACAGAATCAAATATACATTCATAATAGCTAAATTAACCCTTTGTGCACTATATAATTTTCCGACGAAGAGTGAACACTGAACCATCTTTTAACCTAAGGTGGCTCCATCCATGGTGAAACCCCAAATATCTTTAAAAAAAAAAAGTGTTATCGGGGAGACCATCTTCATTGATGGTGAAATGAAGCCAATATAGAGACAATTTTACCAGTGAAATTTGAACTTCAGAAACATTGAAGCAAACATAATGACAAAGAAGAAACATAGCATATAACACAACTATACAGACGAATCTCAGATTTATCAAGTTATAGTTCTTGCAGTGCAAAAGGCAAAAGAAGGGAAATATAAAAGAGCTCTACATATGTACCATTTTACAAGAATTTTTCTATGCAGGCTGTCAACGTTGTTTTAGGGACTGCACCAATGACTGTATCTTTCTTCTCTCCATCCTTGAAAATCATGACGGTTGGGATACTTCGAATCCCATATCTGGTCGCGATGCCAGGACTTTCATCCGTGTTCACCTTGAAGAATTTAAACTTGTCAGCAAATTCCTGTGATAGTTCATCAATAACCGGGTGAATCATTCTGCATGGACCACACCATGGAGCCCAAAATTCAACCAGAACAGGTAACTTAGACCCGATTACAAGAGTCTCCCATGATTGATCATTAACACCAGGCACTGCATTTTACAATAACTATGTTAAATAAACAAAAAAAGCTGATAAAATAATGGATTACAGTTTTAGCACCCTAATATGTATTCCACTTCATGTAATACCTCGACAACCAAAAATTACAACGTAAGACATCGGTGCATCATATTTGTTGCATTACTCCTTGTAATTAGTCAGAGTGTTGGCTAGCATGGAAGATTTGACAACAGAGGATTACATTTTTCTAACTAGGATTATTATTATTATTACAAGGGCAACGCCTGTGCTCTCACACAAAAAAGCACAAGTGATTCATCCCCTTTTTAGCGAAGAATGAACGAAGCATGGGATGTAAACACACCGTACTGAATCCTGTGATCTGAATATAGTTCCACATAATGTCAAGGAGAAAGTAGAAATTAGAACATATATGCAATTATCGCTTTTACTACAATAGTAATGTACCTCAAAGGAGTTCAAATATTTAACAGTAAATGAAGTTCAAATGGTAGGATTTGTTAGAGTTTACACTCTCCAAATATGTATTCATTCCACTTTGATGGATTTACTTCAATTCTTTTACACGCATCAGGTAATTCTAGTTTATGTTATTTGGACTCTTAAAATATATGGACGAGTGTGTGTAGGATCCTCCACAAGTAGTGCATTGTTGAAGATTTGACACGGGTACGGCAACAATTATGGGGAGTCCAAACAACATAGATTCTAGTAGTCTTTCCACTCATTTGATTTCTGCATTGTTCATAGAAACTTGATTTACTCTTTAATGAGCTGTTGAATATCCAACTTGAATGTCATGGAACTGACTTCTCATCAAATTTAAGACTGTGATAATCTGGGAGCGATAATCTGGTAAATAATTGACAATTGTAGCAGTAGATAGCTAATATTTTTGAATCATGACAACAAGCCTACTCTGCCATATGGGTGGATGTAGTGTTAATGTTACGGATTTGTCGAAACTCGGTAGCTTTTGCTCATTAGTCAGTACTCACTCTGCCCAATATGTGAAAAGAGTACAAAATACAAGGGTCAAAACATTTGATTTTAACTACGAATTCGCATACAAATTCTTAAAAAAATTTAAAAAGTAAAATTTGTAAATAAGAAAACACACTATAAGTGAATACAGCTAATAATTTAAAACAACAAAACCCCCAAGATGATTGGAAGTGTAGAGTGTGCACGACCTTAGAGCTCCACGTAGAAGGTGGAGAGATTGATTCTAATAGACCCTTCGCTCGAGTAATGCACATCAAAGAAGTTTAAAAAGAAAATTACACGAGTAAAGAGGACACAACAAATATTAGGGAAAACATTACATAACATGATTCAGAAAATAGCCAAATAATACGATAACCAAAACACAGAAAAAAACAAAAATCATCTGAAAAGAAACTACGAGAACAATGCTACTAAAACTAGTATGAACATAGAAACAGCTACAGTGCATCAAACTACCATCAAGCCCATCCAGCTGGAAAGCAATACAATACTCAACTACCTACTATACTAGAAATGCCAAACTCGAACTCGTAAAGTTCAAATCCTGAATTATCTTTGCTTTGCTACTTTCAATTGCGTGTTAAATCATTTTTTTGGTCATAATTAAGTTTTAACAACAAAAAAAATCCCCAATCAACTCAATCTACAGGCAAAACTCAAATAAGGATGAGAAAAGAGATAAGCACCTAGAACAGCAGTATCCTGAGCCTCACAGACGATTCTTCCTCCTCTACTGGGAACAGATTTTGTAAATGAGCTAAAGGATACTGATGAACGAGTCGACTGGATCTTAAGACCATTGAATAGAGAGAATTTAACAGAAGACCGGCGACCGGAAACAGGAGACAACGACGGCGAAGCAGCGGCGGCGGCGGCCCGAGGAACTGCGATAGTTTCCAGCAAACCAGCCATAGCAGGGTTGATAAATTTGTGTGGCTGAGTAGAATTTGATTGGGCTTTTTTGAGAGTTTTGGTTTAGTGGTATTGTTGGATAAAATGGATGAGGTGATGAATGTGTGTTAGTTGATGATTGGATGAGGAAGAGCTAATATTCACATTACACGTGTCACTTTCACTTTATTTTTTTTATTAATATTGGAAAATTTTGATAAATAGAAATAATTTAAAAAAAAAAAGAAGAAAGTTAGTACTTGAATTTAAAAGCTTATTTCAAAAAAAAATATTTATGTAGTAAACATATTCATCAATGTCTATTTTGTGGATTCATTTGGAGAAAAGCTAGGAAATCTATTTTGGGATCGACTCAATAATTTTTGTAAAAAAGAAAGGTGTTTTAGTTCGGAATACTTTTTTATATTTTTCTCTTAGTATTGATGTTGTAAGAGTAAATTTGAGGCATGAAAAGTAGAGAACAACATATTAATATCATTAATCGGTTGTTTTTCCTCGTAGTTTTAACGGAGAGTAATTTTGAACAAGACAGAATTGTACTCATTAATAAACTTAAAGTCTTGTTGCATTAGATGCATCCATTTATATCATATTTTTAGGGCCTAAGTCATCTGTAGCCCTTAAAGTTGTCTGCATAATTCATTTAGACACCTTAACTAGGACCTATACCTATTGAACACCTCTACCCTCTAGAATTTGAACCATTTAAACACTTTATGCAGATGTGGCATAAGAAGTGTGATGCACGCTTGGTAAGTGCGTGAAATCGTAATTTTAACATTTTTCTTTTTATCTTTCAATTTTTTCTTTTTTTTCCTTTTTAGTTTTCTATATTTTCTTTTTCTCTCTCTCTTTTTTTTTTTAAAAAAACACAATCTTGTATTTTTGTAGAATACTCCCGTCATTTCTGCAGCCATTCTTGAAAAACAATTTGATGTCACTTTTTTCTTATATGAATTTCCATTTTTTTGTTCTTAATTTTGTTTAATTTATTTTCTTATCATTATATTATTAATTCTATAGATGTAGAAAGAACTTCCCTTTTTTCCGAAAAAATAAAGATCAATATCAGCAGTTCTTTACCGAAAAATGAAGATATAAATCTACATCTTCTTCGCTAAAAAAATGTAGACAACAATGGTGAAGAAGGGTGAGTATTAGGAAAAGGAAGAAGGGACATTGGGGTTGGGATGCAATGGGAGGTGGGTGAGAGGTGTATAATTTATTTTTTTTAAAAAATAAGTTGGGAAACTTTTCTTTTTAATTTTTGACTTATTTATATTAAGAAATTATAATTATATTTCTTTTAAATTAAAATGTCACGTGTCTTTATTTGATTTGCTATATTGACACATCATATGCATGTGTATCACACGCACTTCCTTTTTTACCCAGTGTCAGAAAAATGTTCAATAGGTGTTTATATTTTAAGATTGAAGTGTCTAATAGGAAATGGGGTCTGTTAAGGTGTCAAAATGAATTATGCGGACAACTTTAAGGGGTCACACATGACTTCGGCCTATTTTTAGATATATGATCATCTTCAAGTGGTCATATCTTTCTATAAAAATAAGTAGAGAATTTGATCAAGACGATGACATAAGAATATCATAGGTTTAACACATTTTTGTTTTGATACTTTATTGTCATCGTTAAATGATGTCTCCAAGTCCCATAGCATCCAAATGGATTTCAACATCTAACACTAATGAAAGGTAATTTTTGTTTGACTTATAATAGGTAACGAACTCAAGATTAAACATAATAAAAGGAAGAAAACTAAATAATATATTAACCTTCAAACTTAACTCATTACCTTTCATAAGCCAGGCAAAAATAGTCCATCATGAATGTTGGATGCTGAAATTCTTCTGTAAAAAAGCATGAAAAAAAATAAAACCACTTCAAGATGACTATACATTAAACGCATAATATGATTGAATGCATCTATGGTATACTTTTCCTCAAAAACACAATAAGCAGTTTTGAAATTTTAGCTGGACCAGCTATATGTTGATGATGAAATGCAGATACTTAGCCCTAGTAGGTTCTTGTAATATGTCTATAGACATAGTTATAGTTTGATACAAACGAAAGAAATCATGAATAAGCTAACAATCTTGTTACCAATCCCCTAATGATTTGGATTTGGGACTTTCATGTTAGAGGTTTTAAGTTCGAAATTTCTTACCAACAAAAGCAAGAGATTTAGGGTGTGTTTGGTATGAAGGAAAATGTTTTCAATGAAAAATATTTTCTAGATTTTTCTAGAAAACAAGTAGATTTATGACTTTTTTCTAATGTTTGGTTGTGAGTAGAAAATATTTTTAGTGTGATTTATGAATGAAAAATAAAAATGTATTTTATTTTTACTAGAGTAGAAAATAATATATATTTTTTGGTGGATGGAGAAGGGTTGGCAGGGGTTAAGGTGTGAAAAAATAAAAAATTTAAGTTGAAATATTTTTAAAAAATAAAATTATTATTTTTTTAGGTTGGGGGAAGGAAAGGAAGAAGTGGAACTTTGCATAAAGTGAAGATTTTTGAGCATGTAGAAATGATTTTTTTTTCATAAATAGTAAGATTCCATTGAGGGAAGGTGTGGGGGGGTCAAATAACAAAAATTTAAAGTTGAAAATATTTTTTAAAAACAAAATGCAAATTGTTTCGGGAAGTGGGGTGAAGGGATAAGTGTTGGGGGCGGGGGTCAAGGTAGGAGTGAAAAAAAAATAAAATTTGAATTCGAAAATATTTTTTAAAAACAAGCTTGAATTTTATTTATTTATTTTTTTTGGGGAGAGGGGGGGTGGGTATGCCGGGGGGATGGAGTCCAAGATGGAGGTGAAACAATAAATTTTTGAAATTGAAAATATATTTTTAAAAACAAATTTAATATTTTTTTGGAAGGAGGTGGAGGGATGATCGGGGTCGGGGGGAGAGTGGAGTAAAAATATAAAATTTTGAAATATAATTTGAAGTTTTATGCGAGTTGAAGAATATTTTCCTTAATTTTGAGAAAAATGAGTTGATTTGAAAAATATTTTCCACGGAACCAAACATAAGAAAATTGAAAAACATTTTCCAAAAATGTTTTACTTCACACCAAACACATCCTTAGTGATTTGGACTTAAAGACTTCCATTTGGAGGTCTCAAGTTCGAACTCCCTTCCCGGCGAAAATAAAGAATCTGCCTTTTGGGACGAGCTTGAGCTTGTCACACTAGGGATTACCTCTCCTTATGATATGCAAGTTATTGCATAACAGTAGGAGTAGCGGCTGCGAATTCCCCTTGTCATCCAAAAAAAAAACAATGTTGACACCAACATTTAACAAACAGTTGCTTCATCATTTAGTTCAAATGAAAAACTATTGTCATAGCAGCCATATACAAATTTACCATCCAAAAACATGGACATTCAGCTGAAAGATGCAAGTCTGAAAACTAGTTTGTCAACATTAGGTGTATAACAGTACTGAAATCTACATATGGTCAGCAGTCTCTATCAGTCTATCTTAACTGGAGTTGCTCTGGTTGACGCTTTTTCTGCCAAGGGAAGAAACTTATCACAATCCTCGCAACCAATCTTTTTGAACGCCTCTACAAGTACCCCGATGAATCCCGCCAACATGGCCTTGAAACTCCGAGAACCACCTTTGTCACCACCCTTGCCACCATCGCCGAGAACACACCCTCTGACAAGGCTACCCACACGAGCACCTTCCATATATGCTTTACATGCCACAAGAATATCTTGACAGCTTTGAAAGTAATGCCCTATGACAAAATCCTCAAAGTGCTGCAGCAAAAAAGCAGAATGTTCAAATTCGTAGTACTTAATTTAGAACGAAAAAGTCACACAACTATTACAATAAAGTCACCTAGACGAGTAAGTTTTGTTGTTATAAGGAAAAGTCTTGTGACTAGACTGTTATAATGGTGAAATTCTGCATCTCTATCGACAAAATAGTCATGACTTTGTTGTTGTTACAAGGGAGGAAAGTTTAGTCACTTTGTTGTTACAATGTTAAAGGTTCAGTTACTTAATGAGACGTTAGAATTTAGTTTTGTAATTTTACTGTTCCAACAGATAAATCGCATGGAAAAAACATCGCAAGGCATAATTGAAAAGTTCATTAAGTTATTGATGGTCATAAACGATATACCTGTGGTGGTCGCCTCATACAATAGACCATTGTCTTGAGATTAAAAATGCAAGTGTTCTCGTTATAGCGCAGTGAGTTTCGTTCCCCTGAGGCTGAGCCATTCATCCTGGCATATCCAGGCTCATTGAAATAGGGCTTAGCGTTCAATATTAGCCCTTGTATGGAAACCAAAACTTGCAGCATAGTTGATTCACCAGGGATCCATTTCTCCTTCCCTCTACCATCCCAAGTGTTCAGAAGGCTCAGGCAGACTTTTCCACACTCATACAAATTTGGATTGATCCGGAGGCCAAAAGAATGGTAGTGTACATGCTGGCAGCAATAATTAGCAAGGTGTTAGGCTTGAGGTTAAAATAAAGAAGAAGAAAAAATAGAACAGTTCCACAGATAACTTGAGGCATCTTAGGTGAAAAGAAGGCAAAAATAAAGGAGTCAGAGAAGAAATGAGACACATACCGGTGGAACATTGGGATAGTTGCTAGGGAAGTAAACATCAAAAAAGAACAAACCGTCATGGTAAGGAGTTCCATCAGCTCCAATAATCACTGCTCTCAACAGATCCATCCTTGTTTCATACACTCGGACAAATATGGTATCTGCTCATGAAAAGGCATTCAGTTGTGGTTATATGAAATACGACAAGCAGATTTTTATCACAGATCACATTATGAGCTCCTCAGAAATTCATTACTTAAACAAATCCTGTAAGCATGTATGCCAAATTTCAATAACTTGATGCCAAGATAATCATCACAGATCAGGTAGGAATGCTAAGAAAGACTGGAAAATTTGCTCATGTTACCAGGTAAATCTTTCTCCAGTATCTTCCACTCCTCCAGTATCCTCTTGGCACAACTCTTAGAGGCCTATACAGAAAAACAAACATTTAGAAATAAGATAATGAATGACTAATCAAAACTATCAACCACTTACAGTTAAACTAACCAGGTTGTCATGAGATGCAAGTCCAGAAAAGTAATGGCCTGAATGATCTTGAACAGTATCAAATTTCTTGAAAAGACGGAAATTCTTCAGGCTTTCACCTAAATTTCCATGTTGTTCCTTACTAGGAGCTGATTCGCATTGGAGTGATAGACTTGCACTGTTATGCGGACCATGAGTCCAGAGTTCATGATCCATTTCCTGATGGAAATAGTGCATAGCACCTGGTGCAAGAACAGGCCCCGTAGAAAGCAGTTCTGGAAGAAAATAGTTCATAGTATCTGGTGGGATAATATACCCTGGATGAACCTGTTCTAGTGGAAGAGAGATCATATCACCTGTTGCAAGCATAAACCCTGGATGAACCTGATGCAGAGGGAGAAGGTTCATATCACCTGGTGCAAGCATAAACCCTGGATGAACCTGATGCAGAGGGAGAGGGTTCATAGCACCTGGTGCGAGCATAAACCCTGAAGAAGCTTGAGCAGTTGGCATATTAGGGGGTAAATTCATCCAACTAGGCATTGGTGGAGGTACAAAGTGAGCTGTAGGGAACGGAACTCCACCAGGAATAGATGGTGTATGCCAACTCTGAGAAACTGTTCCAGGGGATAAATGTATCTTCCTTCTAAGATGAGACCCTTGAACGTTAAGAGATTTTTCTACCCCGGGCGAAACATTTGTAGAACCATTTTGTTCTTTAAAACATATCCCCTTTGAGTTTGCTTTGGCAGAAAATTTGCCCTCGACAACAGCAGGTCCCAGAGATGACGAAGATAGCTCAACTGGTGTAGGCTTAAAAATATGATTTAAGTCATAAATTGAAGTGGACGGGTACTTTAGTACCTCAGGGGTTTCTCTTCCAAAAGGAGAACTCAGAGCTTTTGAAGTGGACGATGTGCTTGTAGTGGCTGATGCCATTTTAGCTTTAGCAAAACCAGACATCCATGGGATTGGAACCTCAACTCCAGGTGGAGTATCCATATGATCAAAATGTGATTGCAAAATGGCATAGTCATAATTTGCAAGCTCACTAAAGTACATGTCAATAGACGGATTATCTTCATAAAATAGGTTCGCAGGCACTTCACCTGATTCTGAAGGGCAGTGCTTCTTCGAAGACTGAACTTGACTCGGTCCAACACTATATGCTGAATCACCATAGCCAAGGGATAGCTCGAGAAAATCCTGCGAATGAGGCAACAATTTAAAAAATAATCCCCAACAGAAAACACATAAAATACAGAGATAATCAGTACTTCAGGAATATGCTAATTTCTTTGTAATATCTATGGTAAATTCTGATTACCTTCCCTTTGCCACGGGATCCAGTATTCCCATCAATGAACATCACATCATTATCACCTCCTTTCATGTCAACATCTCCATGGTGAATAGGCTACAAAATGAACACACTTCATCAGCGTTAGTACCATGTACTACAATCAAGTGTTACCCCTGCAAGTAATAATCTCAAAACACAAAAAAATAAAGATTCACACCAAAATATCTATGCAAATCATGTATAAAAAATTGAAAAAGTAAAGACAGAAGTCTTGCATATAGCAAGTTATATGTAATTTTTCAACGGAAGGTTAGTGGGCCACATTGCACGCTGTAAGTAATGAAAAAGACTATTTCATCCCTATATAGCATTAAGCCATTAACAATGTGCATTTTTTTTAGGTTAATAATCGATAATTATGCTTCTTGTTTGTTTCTATTCTAGCCCCAACATTAGTTTATCTGTTGAAGGAATACACGTGTGCACCATGCAGACAAAAACTTTGAGAAACCTGATTCTAGCCGAAGTCTACAGCTAGTTTGTGTTCCTTGTACTAGGACGAGTGAAAGCCAACAACAAATTTTTTTTATCTCTTACAACCTCCTAAACTGACTTGCCATATTCTTAACAGATTTGAAACTCATCACTGCTGTACTTCAAACTAACTCGTGAATCTTAGGACAGCTGTGATGTTATTCAACTTGACTTCAGTATTTCAAAAGAAAAAAGCGGGACTTTTGCATTACCTAATCTAACTTTTATTGTGATTCAAGAAATTGTACATCTCTTATACAGAGAACTATTGGGTTCTTAACAAATAGTCGGACAGATTTAGTGTATACTTTTTCTAGCCGGTATACATAGATCATAGATATTATATATCCACCGGCAATTTTTAGTTTAATCAATAGGGTGGACGACTATTTAGGTTAATGGCGAAAACTTCTTTAAGAAACTTCACAGTACAATTAATCTTAGAGAAGAACCAAATGAAAGGATTTTATACCTCCTTCTGTTTAGCATTCTCTGATTTTGAAATCCGAGCAATCGTAGATGAGACTTCCGGCACCTGCACATTGGTTGAGCTCCCACCAGGGAACACTCTTTTCCTGTGCATTAATTCCATCAGAATCACACAGACCAGCACAATGAAAACAAAGAAAATCAAATTGGTCTGTTTTACTTGGAATTATGGGAAACACTCTTTAACTGTGCATTAATACCATCAGAATCACACACTCACACAATAAAAACAAAGAAAATCAAATGGGCATGTGTTTTACATAAACTCTGCTGAAACACTCTTTCCCTGTACATCAAGAACATCAGAATCACACAGACACACAAAACGAAAACAAAAATAAGAAGAAAAGAGAATTGGTATTTGTATTACTTGAAGTATTTAGGAAACACTCTTTTCCTGGGCATCAATAACATCAACACACAAAATGAAAAGAAAATAAAAGAAAACAAAACCATAATAGTATGTTTTTTACTTGAAGTTCTTTGGAAACACTCTTTTCCTGTGCATCAATAATATCAAGAATCACACAAAATAGAAGAACAATAATCAAATTGGTATGTGTTTTACTTGAAATTCTGTGGAAACACTCTTTTCCTGTGCATTAATAACATCAGAATCACACAAAACCATGGCGGAGCCAAAAAGTTTACCAAGAGGTTCAAAATCTGAGGAAATAAACACATGAAAAAGCCAAAGAAGGTTCGGCGTCTACTATATAGATAAAAGATAATTTTTATTCATGTATAAACAATGTAATTTTCTATCAATAGAGGTTCCGACTACGGATGAACCCCTCCGGGCCCTACCTGGCTCCGACCCGACACGAATCCACATAAGGTGAATAAAAAATCCTAAAAGAATAACAGTATCAACAGAATCACACAAGAAAAAAAGGAACCAAATTAAATGAAAAGCATTGAATGGTTCTGTATTTTGCTCAAAATTCTGTTGAAACACACTTCATTAAAGCATCAGAATCACAAATAAATGAAATAACATAAAAAGATTCAATCTTTTTGGACTTTGGTCCAACTTCAGGTGGAACACTCATTCCATATGCATAAACACCATTAAAATAACAATAAAAATGAGCACTTTAAAAACACCAAATGACCCTTTTCTAATGCACTAGTATCATCAAAATCACAGTCACCACCATCAAACATGCATTTTTTTTACTCAGAAATCTAGAGAAACACTCTTTCCTGTCAAAAATCACATAAAAAAAATACAAACAACAGAAGAACATCATTTATTAATCAGAATTCTCCACTTACATACAAAGAAAAAAGAAAAAAAATAACATTTTTAGGTTAAGGGACCACATAAAGGAGGAAAAAATTAACTTTTTGTGACTTTGTATTTTACAAGGAATTCTCTTTCTTGTATATACATGATTAAAAAATAAAAATCCCCAAATCAAAATGAACACAGATTAAAATAAAAATGGGAACTTTTTTTAAAAAATTCACCACATGGGTAATGTTTTTTTAATTCAAAAATCGCTTTATCTACACATCACTATCATCAAAATCAACAAAAAAAAAAAACCAGACACCCAGGTGGGGTCTAGATGATGTACTCAGCTTGCGCACAAAATTAAAAAAGATTATTTTCTATAAACCTCTGTTTAAAAAACTACAAAAAAAGGAAAAAGATCCGAATGAGTATGTGTTTATACTAAAAAAAAAAACAACCTAATTCTTTATCTACACATCAAAATCAACAAAACCCAGATACCCCAAATGGTGTCTGAATGAAGCGTAAAAATACTGTTTTCAATAAACTTTGAATATAAAAAAGAAAAAGATCCAAATGGGTATGTAATTTTACTGAAAAAAAAGTAATTTTTATCTACGTATCAACAAAAAAACCCAGACACCCCAGGTGGGGTCTGGATGAGGTACTCAGCTTACACTAAAAAAGATTATTTTCGATAAATCGATATGAAAGAAAAAGAAAAAGATCCAAATGGGTATGTGTTTATACTAAAAAAAGAAACTAATTCTTTATCTACACATCAAAATCAACAAAACCCAGATACCCCAAATGGTGTTTGGATGAAGCGTAAAAAGATTGTTTTCGATAAACTTTGAATATAAAAAAGAAAAAGATCCAAATGGGTATGTAATTTTACTGAAAAAAAGTATTTTTTATGACCTATCAACAAAAACCCAGATACACAAATGGGGTCTGGGTGATGAGTACTCAGGTTAGAGGTAAAAAACGATTGTTTTCGATATAAAAAAACTTAAAAATCCAAATGGGTATGTTTTTTTACTGAAAAATAGTAATCTTTATCTACATATCAACAAAACTCAGAAAAAAAAAAGGTGATGAATCAGTGTTTTTACTTGGAATTCTGAGAGAAGTATCTAGACGGCGGTAACTCCATTAATGGAACTGCAATTTTCAGAAGAGAAAATGTGAATGAAGATGAAGGAGAGGCAGCTAGGGCTTCAACTTATATAGTGATCAAAAATCTTGTTTATATATATATATATAGAAATTACGTTATTGCAATTCCCTTCTCTTCAGAAAAACCAAAAACTATTTTATGGCTGATTTGACAATTTTAAGTGTTTTACTGTTTACTTGCTTTTTCAACGTGTCTTCCCCTTTTTGACACGCCTTCGCGCCTCCACCTCGGTTTCAAGGTTTCACACTTGTCAAATGACTAAAATACCCCTTATGTGTAACGAACTTTTTCGACACGTCTTCACGTCCAGTTAGGATACGACGTCGTAGGGTTTGGAGAGCATGGAGTGTGTGCAGGTTTTATTTTTATCACAGATATGGAGAGACTATTTTCGATGGATCCTAAGTTTAAGATAAGACACATTGAATAGGAAAGAAACAGTTAATACTCTCTCGAAATGACTAAAATACCCCTTATATATGTAACTGACATTTTTGACACGTCATCGAGTCTCGTTAAGCTTAAGATAAGATATGTTGAAGAGGCAAGTAAACGTTAATTAAATACTCTCTCAAAATGACTAAAACACCTCACATATATGTAACGAACATTTTTGACACGTCTTCACGTCTAGTTAGAATACGACGTTGTAGGGTTTGGAGGGCATGGAGTGTGTGCAGGTTTTATCTTTATCACGATGATGGAGAGATTGCTTTCAATAGATCCTAAGTTTAAGATAAGACACGTGAAAAGGCAATTAAACAATTAATACTCTCTCGAAATGACTAAAATACCCCTTATATATGTACCGAACATTTCCGACACGTCATCGAGTCTCGTTAAGCTTAAGATAAGATATGTTGAAAAGACAAGTAAACATTAATTAAATACTCTCTCAAAATGACTAAAATACCCCTTATATATGTAACTGACATTTTTGACACGTCATCGAGTCTCGTTAAGCTTAAGATAAGATATGTTGAAAAGGCAAGTAAACGTTAATTAAATACTCTCTCAAAATGACTAAAATACCCCTTATATATGTAACTGACATTTTTGACACGTCATCGAGTCTCGTTAAGCTTAAGATAAGATATGTTGAAAAGGCAAGTAAACGTTAATTAAATACTCTCTCAAAATGACTAAAACACCTCATATATATGACGAACATTTTTGACACGTCTTCACGTCTAGTTAGAATACGACGTCATAGGGTTTGGAAATCATGGAGTGTATACAGGTTTTATCTTTTATCACAGTGACTAAAATACCATTTATATATGTACCAAACATTTTTTACACATCATCGAGTCTATTTAGAACACCACATTGTATAGTTTAGAGAAGATAAAATGTATGCATACTTTATCTCTATCTTAGGGATGGAGAAATTGTACTCGATAGATCCTAAGCTTAAGATAAAACACGTTGAAAAAGAAAGTAAACATTAAATACTCGCTCAAATGACTAAAATACCCCTTGTATATGTAACGAACTTTTTCGACAAGTCTTCACGTCTAGTTAGAATACGACGTCGTAGGGTTTGGAGATCATGGAGTGTATGCAGGTTTTATCTTTATCGTTGTGATGGAGAGATTGCTTTCGATAGATCCTAAGCTTAAGATAAGACACGTTGAAAAGGCAAGTAAACAGTTAATACTCTCAAAATGACTAAAATACCCCTTAAATATGAAGCGTACATTTTTTACATGTCAATTTAGAACACCACGTTGTATAGTTTGGAGAAGATAAAATGTATGCAGATTTTATCTCTATCTTAGTGGAGGAGAAGTTGTATTTAATAGATCATAAGCTTAAGATAAGACATGTTATAAGGCAAGTAAACATTAAATATTCTCTCAAAATTACTAAAACACCCCATATATATGTAACGAACATTTTTGACACGTCTTTACATCTAGTTAGAATACCACGTCATAGAAGTTTGGGGAGGATAGATATTAGAGTGTGTGCAAATTATATCTATATTGCAGAGATAGAAAGATTATTTTCAATAGATCCTCAATTTAAGATAAAGATAGTCTAAGAAAAGAAGTAATAAAGAACATAAGAATCAAAATAGAGTAACAAAAACATGAGACGGGGATGAGATGGGGAATAATAGGATAATACGACGTCAACAAGATAATACTATAATTAAACCATGTGAAACAACAATTAGTAATTGAAGTCGAAAAACAAAAAACTACTAAGATTAATATTATGAATACTAGTATGGACAACAAGTCGATACCTCTTATCTATTACTATGTACACTTTCTTACTTACTATTGTTACGATCCTAGGATACCCCCTATACTAACATGGCACATGAATCCCGAAAGGAACCCAAGTAAGCCACTTAGCTTATCATCATCACATAAGTATAAGTATTGAATAATAAGGAATAAAACACAATTTTAAATCTTTAGGAAATCTTTCATAGAAATAAATCGAAAGTCTAGACAAAGTCTCATTAATCCATCTACTATAATCGGAGTTTCAAAATAATAGGGACACAACCCTTACAATAGAGAATATGAAAACGTCTAGCACAACTAAAGAAATGAAACTACATAGACTTGTCCTCGGGTCTATGAGGACTTACCACAAGTTTGATGAGAAGTCAGCCCGAGCTTGAACTAGAAGAATTCATCATAAATGTCGGAACCTACACTTTATAGTAAAATAGAAGAAATATGAATTAGCACACAAAAATATACCAAGTATGATAGTTATGCATAAAAATCATTAAAATTCTAAAAAGGAACATTTTAGTTGAAAACTATGCATTTGATCAAGTTTGTGAACTATCATAGAAGTAAGTGCAAAAGCATAATACACTAGCATATTCACATATTTATCATCTCAACATAAAGGAAACAAACCATAAGAACCATCAAAACAACTTTGTACAATGTATGGATAAGGTTTCATACCCCTATCCACTCTAAGGAAAGTTCATTAAGTGTTTATAATTCATAACTCTAATTCTAGTTCATTATATCATACTGTATTAGTTTTAACCAATATAGACCATGAGAACTTAATCATGAAATCTGATTTCTATTCCATACCGAAAAGGAATTCTTGTACTTGCCTAAGGTAGAACTAAACTCTTAGCTCATGTGAATTCACTAGCTAAAGACATATATGGACATATAGTTCATGGGATAAGGGAATTACTTCTGGAAACTCGCCCTCTACTAGCGGAAGAGCTTCTATCCCATGAGACTTCTTCTAGAAATTCGTCCTCTACTAACGGAGGACTTCCGCTCATAACGATATTCGCTCAGTGCTAAGCATGACTCCCATTAAATTTACATCAAGTTTTGACTTAAGTTGATGATTAAGGAAGAATTTTTTGACGTTCAACCAACAAACTCATACTAAAGCTCCTAAGTTCAATAGGTGAGACTAGTCTCCAAACGTTAGAACCATTATATGTGACAAACCTTTCATATTGCATTTTGTTCATATCTAAGTGTGTACACGAGGATAACTATCCAATCAACACAACAATTAGATTGTACTGCAGTTATTTTATTCTCAAAACAAACTCATTGTATACACACAAATCTCACACACATAGTCAATTTCTTATATTTTTGCCCCTCAAGGGCTATAGATCACATTTCATCAATATCTCTTAAATTACCTCATTGAACATGTATAGTAACATAATCCATATAAGAAATCCATCACATTCATAATTCAAATACAATCTACTCACAAAGACGACCCACATTCATGCGTTAAATCCAATTTAGGAAAACCTAGAAATTCTTGAATTCTTGCATAATTCTTTAGGAAAACAATAATAATTCATCAAATTGATCATAATAAAAGACA